CTTCCTTCCTTCCTTCCTTGAGGGGGGAAGAACAAGCAGTGGAGTAGGTGGAGATGAAGGAAGGATTAAGAGATTATTTTGTTCCAGAAAACCTTCGAGCCTTCATTACTGCTAGAAATAGACTCTCTCAGAATGTGTTTTGAAAAATTAGGTAATACAAAGAATTATATTATTTTTGCACATCTACAACTGTGGATACTTTTGAGATTTCTCCTTGGATTTTGGAATTCTGAATTACAGGCCTTGTTTTCCAAATGAAACCACTTCCTTAAATATTCTCTGGTTTTTAGAAAAATCTTTTACTTTTTGGCACATAAATAATTGATGTTGATAGGGGAGGAGAGGTCCAGCCTGCGACCCCTGTTATGTGGGGTGCCACAGGATTCTGCTCTTTAGCATCTACCTGAAGCCACTGGGTGAGGTAACCCTTCAGCATGGGGTGAGATATCATCAGTATGCTGATGATACCCAGGTATATTTCTCCACCCCAGGCTGTCCAGATGTTGCCATGGAGGTCCTGCCTCGGTGTCTGGAGGCTGTGCAGGTCTGGACAGGGAACAACAAGTTTTGGCTCAACCCTAGTAAGACCAGGTGGCTTTGAGTTTTGAATCCCTGTGTTGGGCACAAAAGATTCCACAGATTGTCTTACATCAATCTTTATACTTGTCAAAAATAGGGAAGTAGGCATATAAAAAAACACGATTGGTTACATGGTTGTGCAGATGCACTTGGGTCCATGTTACATGCTAACATCCCATAATAAGCTTAGCATGCTCTATGTTTTCTAAAATTTCTACCTGAGGGGTGTGTGCTTTACTATGCTAATTAGCTTTTGGTTACACTAGGGTCACTGGTGGTCTCATAACAAGGTCACTTGGTGGTTTCTGAATACCTCAAAACCAGTCCGCTTCCCCCTTTCAAAGTACAGCAACTTTTATTTATAGTCAGACACCTGCTGCACAACCCACATCCTCTTGAGACTTAACCGCAAGCACTTTGTTAATATGCTCTAGTAAATATGCACTCTAACAATATTCTACCATGTGGCCCTCACATGGTTCTGGGGACCTTCCATCTCTTGTTCTGGAGGGGGTTGCACTACCCCAGACATATCCTGTCCACAATTTTGGGGTCCTCCTGGACTCGTGGCTCCTGCTCAAAGAGCAGGTGGCAGCCGTGGCCAGAAAGACCTTTGCACAGCTTTGTGTTGTGCACCAATTGTACCCATTCCTGGACCGGGAGGCCCTGCTCATGGTCACTCATGCCTTAGTCATCTCCTGATTGGAGTAATGCAATTCACTCTACATGGGGCTGCCCTTGAAGAATATTTGGAGGCTTCAGCTGGTGCAAAATGTGGTGGCACAGGCAGTTATGGGTGCTGGTCACTTGGCACATGGAACACCTCTGCTCTGTGAGCTGCATTGGCTACCGGTATGCTTCTGGGTGCAATTCAAGGTGCCGGTGGTTTCTTTAAAACTCTTCAGGGCTTGGAGCCGGGCTACCTATGGGACTGTATCTCCCCAATGATGTCTACTTGTCCCGTGAGAGCTGGCAGAAGAGGCATGCTCCAGTCCCATCTGCAAGAGAGGGACATCTGGTGGGACCCAGGAAGACAGCCTTTTCTGCCCTGGCGCCCGCCCTCCGGAACACCATCCCACCAGAGATTAGACCTGTCCCAACCCTGCTGGCCTTTCACAAGGCATTGAAAACCTGGTTTTGCCATCAAGCCAGGGGCCCTGATAATATGGGTGAGCCCACTTCTTGGTCTTGATTGTGTGAACTGAGTGTCCTTGGCTGCTGTGTTATTCTATGTTATTTCTGTTGTTTTTAAACTTGGTTGTTTTTTACTCTGTTTTTACTCTGTTTTTAACCGTTAGCTGCGCAGAGTCAAACATATGAGATCGGTAGCCATATACATTTATTAAATAAATAAATAGGTCATAGATGAATAATTTGCCACAGGGTTCATATTCTTTTTCAGCTCATGACTGTTTTTCCCGGTCTCTGGTGGCTCATGTGGGTAAGACCATAGAAGAGGTGATAACTGTATGCATGGCTGAGTCAAGATTGCAAGATTGTTTTAATGTTTTCATGCCATTTGGGTGATGCTTTGATGCTATTTGGGAGCAAAACACTATACAGAAGAATTTTGGCTGCAGTAATGCATGTGATTCTGTTAAGATTGCTTTATTGCAGTCTTTTATGAATGCTGATCTGTACATGGGGGCAGAGAGATTAGAGATATGAGGAAAAAACGCAGTTCAGGGTTGCACCAACAGAAGTAAAGGGCCAGGATGATGAGAAATAATGATGCTCTGCATTCCGCTTTGGGAAGACCTACAAGCTGTGTTGATTATAATGTTTTCTTCAAAGCAAGGTTATCCCAGGATGGTGTGGCAACTCAGCTCTCCCCCATCTCTGTAGCTGATGAACTAAGCCAATCCCTTCCAACCTTATTTGATTTTTCATATTTGGCACCAAATTCATCACAAGAGAAAAGAGGTTTGTTTTTACCCAGAGGATCACAGCCTGGCATACAGAGAGACCATGAATCTCACAGGACAAGTCAGAAGTGGAATTAGCCCTTGGAGTAACCTGTGATTTTGTGAGCGAGCTAAGCAGGATCTCCAATCCCTAGATCCAAATTTCAGAAACAGATTTCCCCAACCTCCACCCCAATCATGCATTTTAATAATGGTTTTATTTATGGCTTTAATCCTCTTGGCCACTTTTTAAAATTGGCTTAATTCTCCTTGTTCATTGTCATTTCATATGTGGCAACCTGAGAGTGAAATGCAGTTCCTTGCCCTCCAACACTTCCTTGTCTCTCTTCCTCCTGCTCCTCCTGCTCCTCCTCCTCCTCCTGGCTTTTTTTTTTTTACCCTGTATCCTTTTTTCAACCATTTTCTCTCTAGCCTTGTTTTCCTTAGCTTCTCCTTCCTTAATAATAATCTATGCTATTACCCAGGACACCCTTGAGTTTAGGGCAGTGTTTCTCAACCTTGGCAGCTTTAAGATGAGTGGACTTCAAACTCCCAGAATTCCCC